ACAAATATAAATTAAATTACCTCCGAACGAGAAAGCATCTGCCTTCTGTGTTTGCCGCTGACACTTGTCGGAACGGAAAGTTGCTGCTGTTGCTGTTGCTCCCCACTTTTTTCTGAATTCATTCCTTGATAAAAAATTCCACTTCCTCTTTGTCCCTGTTCTATTTGATCGATGTGAGTTAAACTCCTTGATCGAACCTGTAATAAACGAAATAAATAAAATGAAAACCTATTTATTTATTTATTTAAAAAAACGTATCACCAAAAAAAAATTAAAACCATAGAATAAAAAAATAAAAATCGCTCATCAATAATCATGAAGTAATTTCATTTTGTAATAAAACACGATGATGTCATTTCCGGTTTTTTTATTATTTTGGTGTTTTTTATTTCCAATCTAAAAAAAAATTCATGACGATGATGGGAAATTGTGGGGGGCGTGGGGAAGGGAGGGAGGGAATTTTTTTTTGTTTTTATTCATCTTCGACTTTTATTACTATTATTATTATTATTATTATTATTATTATTATTACTATTACTATTATTATTATTATTATTATTATTATTATTATTATTATTTTTAATTACAAAAAAAAAAAAAAAAACAAATCGTAAAATTTTTCATTCATTCCTTTTCATTCATTCCTTTTTTTTTTTTTTGCTTTTGTTTCGATTGTAAAATTTTTTATTTTTATTAATTTTTTTTGTTTTTGCTGTCGTCAATAATAATCGTCGAGCGTGATTCGAGTTTTATTAAAAAAATAAAAAATTTCTTTTAAACGTCGTCGTCGTCATTTTAATAATAATAATAATAATAATAATAATAATAATTTTTATTATTTATTCCCGCATTCAAAAAAAAAAAAAAAATTTGTTATCCTCTGACAAAAAAACTCCCCTCCTCTTCCGTTTTTTTCCCCCATTGTTTTGATTTTTTCCTTTTTTTTCCCCATTATTCTTACCCATTTTCTCACAAAAAAATTTAAAACTTTACTTTTTCAATAATAATAATAATAATAATAAATTTTCTAAAGGTTTTAATTTGAGTCAAGTTAAGAAGGTGAAAAAAAATTTTTTTTTTTTGGTTGTTGTTGTTGTTATTCGATGTTTTTCGACGTTTTTACGAAAAAAAAAAAAAAAAACGGGAAGGGAGTAGGAGGGAAGTAAGAGAAGGGGGAAATTAGAATAAAACAACGTTTTTTTTTTTTTTTTAAATAAAAATGGCGCCAAAAAAAACAAAAGAAAAGAAAAAAAAATTGATTAAAATTGTTATTTAAATAAAGTTTATTTTTTTTAATGGATTCTATTAAACGAAAAATATATTATTATCATTATTACTATTATTATTATTATTATTATCATTACTATTATTATCATTATTATTATTAGTAATTCGTTTTACGTAAAATCCTATCGATAACG